GGGACAAGGGGGCACAGGAGAGGAAGGAGGATACCAAGGTGTGTGGCTGGTGCAACGCAGTGAACAAGCTATGGAGATGCTAATCAGGCTGCAAAGTCGGCAAGTGTAAATTCTGGACCTCCCAGAAACGCAGTGCTTTTGGCAAGAAGGAAGAGAAACAAAAGGGGTAGGGGGTGTGGGGGGACAATGGGGAGGCAGTTGATCTATGCCTGCACTTCAGCAAACCGGTTTCCGCTGCCATTAGCATCTCCGAAGCTGAGGATCAGAGATTGGGGGGGGTGCCCAGTTGGGGACCTGTGGATTGATCTCACTGGAGCTAGTGTGCCCTGCAGGGGTGGGGGTGTGCAGTGGCGGGGGCGGCACTGGACAGGGGTTCAAATCCAGTGCGCTGTCCCCCAACGGCCTGCGAGGGGCCAGGCCAGCTACAGGATGCCAGACTTCTCCCAAAAAGCTAAGGGGGACTCACCTGGCTCCTTCTAGCTCAAGCTCAACGAAATGCCCCCATCAGGGAGAAATTCCTGGGGCTTCGGAGAGGGGGGGGCGCCTGGCAGAGCGCAGGCCCCAAGGGGGCAGGAGGTGGCTCCCCAGCCCCAACTTCAAAAGGGTGGTAAGTGCACAGAGTCCCTCCAGCTTCCAGAAACTGTCCTTCCTTGTAGTATTCTAATTATGGAATTTTAAACTTTTCCTTTAAAAAAAATCCCAAATAACAGAAAGGCACAGAATGCACTTGTTTGGTTTCATTTTGCCTTCACAGCTTTAATGAGTCCCTTTATGGAAGCTGTTTAAGAAGCTAGTGAGGAAGAGGAGGAGGAGGCCAGGACAAATGTCAGCTTGGGCCTCCACTGCTCTGCTGGCTCCCGCCCCTCCCCCGCCCAGGCCGGGGCACCCAGCCTAGGCAGCAGTTCTCTTTACTCCCCAGACCCGGCCATGATGGGCAAGGTCCAAGTTCCAACCTATGACCCGGCTTCTCTTCCCTTTCCTGCAGGCCGTGGTGGCCCCAACCCCAGGGCTGAGGTTGACAAGACCATGTTTAGCCAGCAGGCCCTGGAGGAGGCTGTAGGACAGGCCGTTCGGAATCACCAACCTTGATCTCCAAGCCCTGGGAAGGACAGGGGACAGGGAGGGAGGTGGACCTCATCTTAGGCCGAACTGCCAGGGACAAGTTCAAAGTACCTTCAACCCTGCAGAAACTCACCGACAAAGTGGGGTGTAGAGAGAGATGGGCCCAAGGGACCTTGGCTTGTGATTTATTTTATCAATACCTGGGGCAGGCTGGGGAGGTTGCTGAGAAGACAGGTGCTGGGGGACCGGGGTGAAGCTATCTTTGGGCACCTGCCTCAGCTCAGGGCCTCCCTCCCCTCTGACCTTTGGCCCTGCCTTGTTCTACCCCTCCAGGGTCCACGCTCCCACCTCTCCCTTTCCCCCGCCTTGCTACAAGTCTCACACAGCTACACCAACCCTCTTTTAGGTGGTAACTGCATTTCAGAATCCCAATCCCAGCCCGATGGCCGGCCTGCCGCCCAGGTGGAACGGAGGAGCCAGAAGGACTGGACTGAGGTCTGTGAGGGCTGAGCGCCAATGCCAGCTCTATCCCTGAGCCCCAGCGTAACCCCGGGCAAGTCAGGGCCTGTCCCAGGACTCCAGTAGTCACATAAGTGGGTTGGAAAAAGGGGAATTGTTTTGTCCTACAGAATTCCCAGTTTGGGGGTGGGAACAGAAGAGCGGAGAGAGATTACATCAGAAATTCCTCCCCTGCAGTGAAACTTTCACTTTAATGAAAAACCCATTAGGGAACTTTTTTTTTTTTAATTGAATTTTTGGGGTGACATCGGTTAATAAAATTCTATTGGTTTAAGGTGTACAATCCTATAATACATCATCTGTATACTGTACTGTGTGTTCACTACCCCAAGTCATGTCTCTCCATCTCCATTTATGGCCGCTTCACTCTGTCCGGCCTCGGCCTCGGCCTCGGCCTCCGCCCCCACCCCCCACTAGTTCCCTCTGGGTAATGACCATACTGTTGTCTGTCTGTGAGGGATTTTTTTTTTGTCCTTAATCCTTTCACCTTTTTCACACAGCTCCCACCCCCTTCCCCTCTGACAGCTTTATGTCTGTTTCTACTCGTTTGTTAGTTTATTTTGTTCATTAGATTCCACATATAAGTGAAATCATATGGTATTTGTCTTTCTCTGACTAGCTTATTTCCATTAAGACACTCTTGATTTTCCCCTTGTTTAAGTGAGATGGGTGTCTGGTACACTGCAGAGGGAGCCAGAGCCAGCCATCCCTCTCTCTGCCTCACACACATGCACAGGCCCGCACACCAGAGACACTAGGAAAACTCCAATTTTAATTGCACCTTATGAAGAAGTGTTATCATGACACCTCAGTTCCTTCTTTGCCATCCCAGCCGGAGGCCAAGGAAAGGCTCATTAAAAGCTCCAGGAAAGGTTGAGGGGTGGGGCAGGAGGAGGCTCCCGGGGCCAACTCCGCTTTGAAGTGGCCTCTCCTGGCCAGTCACTTCCCGACCGGTCTTCTAAGGGTCTACAGCTTTATGGTTCCCAGTTTGACTTCTTCACCATCAAGCTTCATGCCTTAAAAAATACTCTCATATCACTGGGGATGGGGCGGGGGAAAAGAGGTGCTTGCCACCGGAAGGGGGACACATGACCAAGATAAAGCCCCCTCTGGGGGGGACAGCCTTCTCTGCCTCAGCTTGATCTCAGGCTTACGGTAGAGAAATGGGTGGGGCCACGAGGAAGAGTCCAATGTGCCCTGAATCAACCTGGCTATTGGACAGGAGCCCTGCATACAAGTCTGTGATCTGGATCTGTGGGCAAGTGAAGACAAGATGTAAAGAAAGGCAACACTCTGGCCTTGGTTTTCCTCATCTGTGAAATGGGACTCATGAGGGGTTCACTGGGAAGACCCAAAGAACATTGTAAAAGATGCTCTGTGCCTGTGGCATTAGGGCTGTGGAGGAGGAAGGGAACACATTCTCCCTCCTGAAGTCAGGTTTCTAAGGGCCGCACATTCTGAGCAAAGGGAAGGCTGCAGGCCAACCCCAGCAGTTGGCCCCTCTCCAGGCTGGTGGGCAGGCAGCCCCTGCCGCGCTAAGTAATGAGCACAATTCCAACACCGGTTCTGCTTGCTAGTGAGAAATCAAAGCCCAGTATTAGAGGCCATTCTGGCTGGGCACCATTCACGCCCAAATCCATCAAAGCCCTGGGCTTGGGGTTCCTTCTGAGGAAGGTGGGGGTTGGATGCTTTGTTAAGTGGGAAAGGCAGTCCACCCCCAGCTTCCCCAGTTGAGACTACTCTGCAGTTCCAGCGAACTCCAGGTCAACCAGTCTCTCCCCTGCCTCCCTGAACCCCCTACATTCAGTAACCTCAGTATTCATTCCAGTTCCCATTGCCCTGCTGCTACAAAATCAGCTTCCCAAGACGTGACCCTCCCCGTGTGCCATTTACAGAGACTTCACCCTACCCTTCAATCACCTCCCCTTAAACACCCTCAAACCAGAAACCAAAAACCCAGTCCAGCACCTCCCACATCCAACTGTACTCTTAGTAACAAGACTGGTCATTCAGCAGCCTGCCCCCCATCCCCATCATTACCTTCCAACTTCAAAACACTGCTTTAAATACCAGAGTCTGCCCAAATCATAATTAACTTGGATCAAATGATTATGTCGTAACTTTACAACACAGGGCTGAAAAAAAAGTGGGGGGGGGGGTGCTAAAACCAAGCCCTCACTCCTGGGCCATGGGAATCATTAATTCCAAAGTGAGGAGACTCTGAGCCGCTGTTTATTGGGTGGGGGGTGGGGTGGCGGATGTTAACATCCCAGCGGAAGGTGGAGGAGGGAGGCTTTCGTCATCTCGTCCACTTTCTGCACCAGTTTTCCTGCCCCACACTCAGCCTCAACTCAGAGACTCCGTGCAGGATGCCCCCTCCCACCCCGCTCCAAGAGCCGCGGCGTCCCACGGCCGCGTCCGCGGCCAGCCCATCTGCCTGGGTTCCGACACCAGAGAAAGATTGGTTCCCGCGCAACCGCCGGCTCCCAGGGAAGACGCAGCCCAGTCAGCGACGCTGGGCCCAGCTATAGACGAGCGAGACGTGTACTCATCCATGGTGGGGGTGTGTTGGGGTTGGGGTGGGGATAGCGACTTTATTTTAGGAGCCCACCAACCCCCTTAAGGCATCTTGCTGGGTCCAGAGTAGGAGCTGTACCGAGGCGAGCACAGCGCACCGCACCTTGTCTGCTCTCCCAGGCGGGGAGAATGTCAGCGATCCATTTAAAAGAAACAAACAGACAAAAACTCTACGGGGTCATTACATACTCCCCCCCTCCACCCCCCCCCACAACCCCCAGAAGAAAAAAAAAAATCCTTCCAGATCCGTGGGTCGCACAATCTCAGGGAAAGATGTACGTGCAGGACTCAGCCCTATCCCCTTCAATAGCCAAAGCCCTTCAAGCCCGCCACCACGGCTGGCGGAGCGGACCCACGCTTCCCGTGCTCTGCAGGTCCTCTCCCTCCCTCTCGCCTGGGCGAGCCGGGACTCGGGCTAGGAAGTTGCCGGCGAAACGCAAGCGAGCTTACACCTGGCCCAGGCAGCAATAGTTTTTCTGAAGCGGCGCCGCCTGGCGCGCGAGGAGCCAGGGGTTCCCTGGAGGCGGATCCTCACGGCGGCGTAGACCCCGACTCCGGACACTCGTTCCAAGTAAAAGAAGCGATCCCTTCCAGGTGCGAGCAGGAGGCTTCCGGCTTATTTTGAACCCCAAAGCCTGGGCCGGCCCCTCACCCCCTACTCAACGAGGTGGCTGCGCCACCGCCCACTTTGGTGGAGTAGAGAAATATACCTTCTGACTTGGGGGCCCTAACCGCTTCCAGACCTGAGCGAACCTACACGGAGACCGACCACCTCAACTTCGGACCAGAGTGAGAAGCAAGGGTCCCCTCGTCCCCCGTTCCCATGCCCAATCTCTCCTTACCTGCTTGGCTCAGCCTCGGGTCCCAGCAGAGGAGCAACACCAGCAGCAGCGCTCCCCGCGCTCCGCTCTGGGCCCACATGCTCCCGTGGCCCGGCTCGGGCGCCTCTACCCCGGGGCTCTCTCCCTGGCCCCAGCCTCGCCGCCGCCGTCTCCGCCGCCGCCGCCGCCTCCACGCCGTCCTCCCCGGCGCCCGGCCGCGCCAGCCCGTGCTCTCCGTGGGGGCAGCGGCAGCCACGCTGCACAGAGGGCCGCCTGGCGCTCGGAGCGCGCCGGGTGCTGGGCGCCCGCTCTCGAGCCAGGCTCCGACGCGCCCCTCTCTGCGCTCCTCAGGCTCCCAGGATCCGAGCGCTCTCCGAGCTCCCACCCTCTGGCTCCGAAGTTGGGCGACCGAAGATGAGTGCGCTTAGCCGCGCCGTCCGAGCCCCCGTGTAGTGCGCCTCTCTGCGCCCCGCGGCAGCCCGCGGCCCTGGCGCCCTCACGGGTCCCCGCCGCCTGCCACAATGCCGAGCGCTGCGGCTCGCTAGTTCTAGTGAGTCCGCGAGCCCTGGGGTACCGCGCGCCGCGGGGCGGAGCCTGGGAGGGAGTGGGCGGGGCCTGCGGGGTCCTTGAAGGGGGGAACCGACGGCCACCTGCGCGCGGCCTCGGCAGCATTGGGGGGCTTTTGGGGAGGGGGGCCTCGCGAAACTCTGGGCCCAGGGCGTTGGAAAACCTGGTGACTGGATCATAGCTGGAAGCGGAGTTTGCTTAATTTTGTTTTCCAAAAATTAAGGAAATGTACTTTTGTGCTCTCCTTTGTGCTCTCAGCTTTCTTCTCTGAATTCAGGACTTTGAGTTCCCTGGTGTATATTAAGCTCTTTGCCTTCCACATGTGGGGTCTTTCCAAAAAGGCTCCATAAATGATACAATCTCGAACACGCTTGTCCTGGTTAAGCTGGGGTTTACAGCTACGTGAACTTGGGCACAGATTTGTATGATCCTGGTTGACCCTACTTGTCTGTATGACTTTGCACAGAACTGTTTACCAGGCCTCTCTGGACCTTTTGCAGCACTCAAGTCCTACGATGTTAAAAATGCAGCCCCAAGTCACAGTGGGACAGAGGGGAGAGGGCAGCCATTTTTGGCTCAGTGTATACTTGGTCTCTGCCCCTTGACTGCTGTGTGACCCTGAACAAATTATTTAACCATTTTGATGCTCCTTTTGTCACTATCTGTAACATGGAGAGTGATGATAATAGCTATTTTCATAAGGGGATGTAGAATAGAATGAAAAAAAGTACGTATGGAAACTGCAGCACAAATGTCAGTAATCTCTCTTTCTCCTCCTAACCAGTCTGATTCCTGGGGGAAAGTTCTGGCCACCCAAGGGTAGGCTAAGAGGCATATGGGGCTAAGTGGAGTATGGGGATGGGTGTCTTGAAACTGAAACCCAGAGACATCACAAAGGGTGGATCAGCGGAGACCTCCCAGATGCCAGGCAAGGAGTTAGGTACTTTATATGCATTACATCAGTGAGCCCTCACAACTCTCTGTGGTAAGTACCATTTGTACCCCCATTTTACAGATGAAGGGCCTGAAGCACAGAGATGTCAAGTTATTTGCAGAAGAACATGCAGCTTTGAGTGCATGAGTAAATGAGTGAATGAGTGAAAGGACAGGAGAGATGAGATTGGAGAAAAACCTCTCTGGGCTGGGGAACCCCCACTGCTGTGTCTCCTTCAGCGCTGGATTGGGCTGCGAGAGGGGCTGGCCGCCAGTTGGACTGCCTCTTCCACTTGGCCCTGATCAGTTCACTACCTCGAGTTTTTCCAGAGCTGGGTCTAGAGTCGGTCCTCAAATACAGATAGGGTGAGCTGCTTTAGGAAGGGGTGAAGGAAATTAGAGAGGGGTCCTGCCAGCCCAGGAGCCAGTAGAGCGTGTGCTGGAATAGGGCAAGTTGTCCCAGGGGTGCTTCCTAGGTTGGAGGAGAAAGGACTTGGGGGCAGGCCTGCAGGCTGGAAGGGAACTTTGTGGGTGCAGAGAAGCAAAAAGGGCTTGCCCCAGCTGTTTCCTCAAAGGAGAGATAAAGGCAGGACTTCCCCGTACCCCCTTCTATAACACTCCCCTGCAGGTTGGGGTCTGGAGTATTTGGGGGAGGTTGTATGTAATCAGACTGCCTCCCTAGCCCTCTCCAACTGGCATCCAGGGTCAGGAGGGTATATATGGGCAGAGTGGGACTCCCTAGGGAAGAACTTTGGCCAACTGAGGAAGGTCCCTATGGGCAAGGTAGATGGGTTATTTTTAGCTTAGCCCAGGACAGCCCAGGCAAGGGCAGTGGATGAGAGAGTCAATAGCTTATCGTACCCTGCCAGCTCCACCTATCCACTTAGCTACAGTCACCTAGACATACACACACACACCCAGATACAGTTACAGGGCACAACTGGCTGATATACACCTACAAAGGTACACACAAGGAAATACACAACAAAGATACACAGGTGCAGAATGACTCTCCCAGAAACATAAGTGTACAAACAGGTACCCAACTGCAGACACCTAAAACACAAGATTCAAAAAAGCACACACATACACCTCATCAGAGACACAAACACATGTACAGACACACACATCCAGAAGTACTAATACAGTCTTATGCAGAAGACACTAAAGATAAATAGATATTTAGATACTTAGCTATCACCAGGAAATGCATACAGGGTCACAGGTAGCAAGATTCACCTTCTCTACCGTTGAGACTGGCTCTTCCTTGCAAGAGGCTCATGACTCCCTTGCCTACTGTGCTGTCTCTGGGACCCATTGACTCTAGGACTCGGATTTGTTATCCCCATTGATTGCTGTGTTATATTCCTCCTAAATTGTTAGAGTGTGAATAGGATATTAATTCATGTTGATGTTTTACCTTGAGTGAACCTGTATTCAATAAAAGCTAAGTGAATAGCATAGTAACCTGGTGTGACTCTTGTCTACTTCTTGGTGCAGGGTTGCTCAGTAGGCAGCTAGCTGAGCAGTCACCCGGCTGACTTATAGGAAAGACTATATCATGAAACATACATTTGTAATATTCAGGCAGTAATTGCACCAGGCATATCTCTAGTTCAAGTGTCAGGTTTCATGACATTGTTTAATTTCTGGCTGGAGAAATGGGAGACTGAGAGCAGGGGAGGGCAAGCAAAAGGAGAGTGGTCATTTCCCCCTCTCCTGTAGGTCCTGGCCCCACTTCCCTCCCCAGCCTAAAAACTCTTTCAATTCTTGAAATATGCCCATGGGAGGTTCTGGACCCTGTCTTCCCTCCAGAACTCCAGCAGCAGAATCGGGCACTTACCACACTGGGGATCCCTCCAAAACTCTCCTGTACCCCCTCCTATGCTGTTCAATTATACACCTACAAAGTGCATAATTGTCTAGGAAAATGCCCCTTCCCCAGCCACCTGCAGCTAAGAAGATGGGATTGCTCCACAGCCTGGGCATCTCCTGGGTCCAGGGAGAGGACTTCAGAGGGAGTCAGTTTGTCCCTGAGCCCACACCTTTCCCGGGGACAGGTGAAGAATAAGGCCCAACTCTGGGAGAACACACTGGAGTAGTTGGATTAAGACGTATTCCAGGATGCTCCTAAATCCAAAGCCATCAGACTCACAACAAAGGGGTCCTGCTATGAGTTAAGAAAGAAGATGATGCAGTGAGCTGCTTGGAGGCAGAAGTACCCGCCCCCTACTTTGTTCACCATTATATAAGCAGCACCTAAGACAGTGCCCTGCACATAGTAGGCATACATTAGTATTGGTCGAATGGATGCATCGATGAGGCGGGGAGAGAGAGGTTACTAGTCAAAGGGCCCACAGCCTTGCCAAGAGGCCCTAAAAAGAGCCTCCTACCTCCCCTCCATTTCCTGGGCGACTGGGGGGCATGAGTCTGGAGGCAGGGAAGGTTTTGTGCAACGTAACTGCTTTAAAATCATTCACATTTTTTACAAACCAGCCAGTATGAAGCCATGGGCATCTCTTGGGACAACTGACACAAGTGCTGCTAGACCAGCGACAAGAGAAAGCCCTATCACAAAACGCAGAAATGTGAGCTGGGACACGCTGTCTCCAACACTAAGATTGGCCCTGGCCGCAAACATGCAGTCCTGGTGTGGGGAGACAACAAGAAGTACCGAGCCCTGAGGCTGAATGTGGGCGTCTTCTCCTGGAGCTTGGAGGGCTGTACATGCAAAACAGGGATTATCGATGTTGTCTACAATGCACCCAACAATGAACTGGTCTGTACCAACACCCTAAGTAAAGAACTGCATGGTGCTCATTGACAGCACACCGTACTGACAGAGGTAGGAGTCCCGCCTTGCGCCTCCCCTGGGCTGCAAGAGGGGCCAAGCCAGATCCGGAGGAGGAAGAGATTTTAAACAAAAAAATGATCGAAGAAAATTCAGAAGAAATATGATGAAAGGAAAAAGAATGCCAAAATCAGCAGTCTTCTGGAGGAGCCGTGCCAGCACGGCGAGCTTCCTGCGTGTGTCACTTCAAGACCAGGCCAGTGTGGCCGAGCAGATGGCTGAGTGCTAGAGGGGAAGGGGCTGGGGCTCTAGCTGAGGAGGATCAAGGCCCAGAAAAGCAAATGAATCCTCCTTCCTCCTTTCTTAAAAGCTTATGTAAAAAAAAAAAAGAGAGAGAAAAAGGCAAGGCTCCTGTAATAAAGGTGTGGCGTTTGTTTATTCTGGGGGTGGGGGGGAATGGAAGAAATCAGTCACAGAGCTATTGTTGACCCTTAGTGGGTACTGCAAATACTTGCATGGGCTCTCATTTCTCCCAAACTAGAAGAGTGTGTTGGAGCCAAAGTTTTGGAATCTGAAACTAGACCTGGGGCTAGCTACCCTTACCTGCTGGGAGAACTTGGGCTGGCTGCTGAGCCTTTCCAAGCATCAGGTTCCTCTGTCGTAAAATGGGAACAATAGCTCACAGGATTAAAAAGAATATACAGTCATCCCCTACTTTGTCCGAATACAAACTACTAATGAAGGGAGCTGTAGAGGTCCCCACAGTCTGGGCTGGCAGCTTTGGGTGGTTGGTGCCTCCCTCTGCGGCCGGTGCCCTTGTGCTCACCGGTGCCACTAGGCGGCGCGCTGCACTTCACAC